CTTTGCTCCAAATTATGTAAACTACTCAGAGGTACTTTTTCAGATTACATGCAGACTGGGGAAGAAATCACTGCACTTTGTTTAGCTCTTTAAGAATCTCTTCCTGCAAGTCTACAGAATGGAAACTTTGTATTTTTTTAAAAGGGGGTTAATAAAAGAAAGGTGGCCAAAGTCTACTAAAATTCACTGACCATTCAACTTGACAACCCCAACATAAGGAATTTAGCAGCTAAACAAGCCTTTGTAAGTGGTGTTTCTCATAAAGCAATACATGCTCTGGAACATAAACTCAGCTTTAAAATTTGTTAAATGTTTAAAAACAAAGACCATGGAGCCTTGCATCACAATGAAATGAAAGAATATGCTGCTTGCTTGCAAGCTGTGCTTAGTAGGATTCTATCCCTCTATTCCGCACTCGTGCAGGCACATCTGAAATACTGTGTTTAGTTGTGGTCCCCCCCATCACAGAAAAGATGTGGACAAATTGGAGACAGTCCAGCAGAGGGCAACAAACATGGTTAGGGAGGCTGAGGACATGACTTATGACAGGGCGGGCAATTATTTCAGATGGAGGGCTGCTTACCAAGTTTTGGCAAGCTGTCAAGGTCCGCAAGGTTACCCTTGCCCCCCTAACCACCAACTTGGGACCAGAAGTCCCGCCCCCTAACCCCTGACCTTTGCCACCAAAAGTCCCTCCCCCTTGCCCTCCCAGAAGTACTCCTTTCAGCAAGGGGAGTTGCCACCTCCAAACCAGAAAAAAACCAAATTATATTCTAAAAATCAAACATCTACTATAACATTCATTAATTTGATTTCAAATATTTTTGTCCTGATGTACATGTGTTTGTGTAGTGAACTTAGAGGTAACTGTATAATAACTTAAAATGAAGTCTTACTTTTGTATACTGTGGCAGGGTGAGGGTATGGGTGGGTAGGTGGGTGGGTATAAGTTTGTGAGGGGCTGAGGGTGTGTGGGTATGTGGGGTGGAGGCAGAGGCTTCCAGCTAGGGATTAGGGCGGGGGGCTGCA